TTCAAACCACTCTTTAAAAAAATAATGATTTTTTCGTCATTTTCTTCCAGTGAAAGTCTTGATCTTTTTTCTTTCACGATATGCCTGTATTTTTTTACTTCGCTTTCTCGATGTTCTACATTTTTTGTCCCGAGGAAGCCTTTGGTTTCCCCCACATTGTTTGCCTTGGCACCATCCACAACAACTGCATGCGCTCATACAGGTAAAGTGTTCGTTGATGCACTTGCACCTGCATTTGTAGTTCCTTGACGCTTTTGGTTTTGATTTGTATTTATTTTTTTTGCATCGACATGGTTTTCTTGGAGTTGAGATTGGCACTTTCTCCGTGGAAAGCGTGGACTGACTCTCGAGAGCATCGAGATTGCTGTTCGTTTCAGAAGTGAATTGTTCCTGCTGATCACGTTGGGAAATAATTAGCACATCATAGTGTCCTGGACCACTTGCATTATACGCCAGGTAGACGACGTTTGAGGCTGGCACCATCACCAATTCGGTTTGTTACTGTTGTTTTTCTTGAGTTCTCTGATAAGCTGTTCGTTTCGTGTTGTCCCACAACTTGGGGGGATGTGTGACAAACATCCCTTTCTAACGTGACACATTCTATATTTTTTAGTTCTTCTTCAACGCTTTTGCTGATAACGCGAGCTGCCTTGAAGGTGTGGTCACAGTGAATCCATTTAGTATTTAACGAATTCATTGCCTCTGTAAAAAGGTGTTTTTTTCTCATTCAAAGATGCAACGTAAACGCTTCTTATCAAGTTGTCACCTGGCCAGGGAAAAGGTTCCCAGGAACGTCAAAATTTAACTCCTCAGCTGACTGTGTGAACCCCAATTCTTTTGCGTGTTGCGCGTCATTTAGAAATCGGAGCAACCTGTTTCTTAATGTTCTTTTGTACGTTTCTTTTATGTGCTCTTCAACAGACGATATTGCTAATCCCCTATCTAATAAATCTTCAATTTCATTTGACAATCGCATAGTCATACCAGATCGGTGTGTGAGAACAAATGGCACGCACGTAAAATCCTCTGAGGTGTCGTGGAAATAGCCTGCGGGTATATCATGACCATGCTCACATTTATATACTTTGCTTACAAGCAGCACTGGACTTTCAACGTCGAACAACATTCGGGGATTTGATGTCTTTTCTTGCATTATTCCATTCATTGTCGCATCCCCTTGATAGCAAAGAACATCTTCCATCTTCAGCGCACAAATGACAATACAATTTTCTTTTTTTGGCGCGAAAAGCCGGATGTTGTCCAAGAGGATCAAAAAGGATATAGGGAAGTAGAAAGTAAGGATCTGCGTCTTGTCTCCAATCGGGTCCTGTAATCGGCGGTGGTGATGGTGTGACGACAGAAGGAAAGGCCACCATTTCTTCATTCGTTGATAAATCGTTTTCATATTCCACTGTTGATCTCTCTCTGCTTTTCTCTCACCTCTAATCCCGCCACAAATGACACAAGAATGTTAGTAGAGATTATTAACATCGAGATGTAAATGTTTAATTTGTGTTCCGTCTTTCTTACTTGATCGTCCTGGCCTATCCACGGTGTGATGCTATGGGGAAAATCTTACATGAATGTACTTATGACAGTTGATTGATTTGTAGCCTGGGTATGTCCGCCCCCTCCTCTCCAACCAAAATCTCGCGCAGGTCTATTGAGTGTCACTGCGTTTCATCATGGGTATACAGGGTATACATGGGTATACATGGTATACAGGGTATACAAGGTATACATGGGTATACAGGGTATACATGGGTATACAGGGTATACAAGGTATACATGGGTATACAGGGTATACATGGGTATACAGGGTATACAGGGTATACAGAGTATACAGGGTATACAAGGTATACATAGGTATACAGGGTATACATGGGTATACAGGGTATACAAGGTATACATGGGTATACAGGGTATACAAGGTATACATAGGTATACAGGGTATACAGGGTATACAAGGTATACATAGGTATACAGGGTATACAAGGTATACAGGGTATACATGGGTATACAAGGTATACAGGGTATACAAGGTATACATGGGTATACAGGGTATACATGGGTATACAGGGTATACATGGGTATACAGGGTATACAGAGTATACAAGGTATACAAGGTATACAGGGTATACAAGGTATACATGGGTATACATGGGTATACAGAGTATACGGGGTATACAAGGTATACATGGGTATACAGGGTATACAAGGTATACATGGGTATACATAGGTATACAGGGTATACATGGGTATACAGGATATACAAGGTATACAGGGAATACATGGGTATACAGGGTATACAAGGTATACATGGGTATACAGGGTATACATGGGTATACAGGATATACAAGGTATACATGGGTATACAGGGTATACAAGGTATACAGGGGTATAAAGGGTATACAAGGTATACAGGGGTATACAGGGTATACATGGGTATACAGGGTATACATGGGTATACAGGGTATACATGGGTATACAGGGTATACAGGGTATACAAGGTATACATGGGTATACAGGGTATACAAGGTATACATGGGTATACATAGGTATACAGGGTATACAGGGTATACATGGGTATACATGGTATACAGGGGTATACAGGGTATACATGGGTATACAGGGTATACAGGGTATACAAGGTATACATAGGTATACAGGGTATACATAGTATACAGGATATACAAGGTAGACATGGGTATACAGGGTATACATGGGTGTACAAGGTATACATGGGTATACAGGGTATACAAGGTATACATGGGTATACAGGGTATACATGGGTATACATAGGTATACAGGGTATACATGGGTATACAGGATATACATGGGTATACAGGGTATACATGGGTATACAGGCTATACAGGGTATACAGGGTATACAAGGTATACAGGGTATACATAGTATACAGGATATACAAGGTAGACATGGGTATACAAGGTAGACATGGGTATACAGGGTATACATGGGTATACAGGGTATACATGGGTATACAGGGTATACATGGGTATACAGGGTATACATGGGTATACATGGGTATACATAGGTATACAGGGTATACATGGGTATACAGGATATACATGGGTATACAGGGTATACATGGATATACAGGGTATACAGGGGTATACAGGGTATACAAGGTATACATAGGTATACAGGGTATACATGGGTATACATAGTATACAGGATATACAAGGTAGACATGGGTATACAAGGTTTACATTAACAACAACAACAACACCAAAAGCTTTATTTGCATGACCATAAAGGAATTACAGTATTGCAAAAGCTATTAATCTAAATTTAAGTACTAATTCAACTAATTAGTACGTGCAAAACATTACAAAACGTGACAGTTCTCATTCATTCATTCATTGATATTAATTTGGTCCTTAATTCAAAGCATTGCGAGATAAATGAAACTAATTGACAGTTAATTAAATAATCAGAAGAATTCATAAGAAGAGATATTAAAGTATCGTGTGAAAGTGATTTGAAGTCAGGTATTTTAGTTTCTAGTTTCGAGAAAAATATGTCTCTGATCTGAGAATAAGCCTTACAATCTAGTAAGAAATGATTTTCATCTTCGATTTTCTTACTTGTACAAAAGTGACATATCCTTTCATTGCGAGGAATGTTTTCGTATCTACCTGTTTCAATTCTAAGTTGATGACTACTTATTCTAAATCTAACTAATGTTTTTCTCGAAGGGTTTTTTCTTGTTAAAACTAGGTACGGCGAGGGGCTATAGTTGTCTTTGATTGTACAATAAAAACTGAGTTTTTGTGATTGTTGAAGTGTCTGATTCCAGTAAGAGACGTATTTATTTTTCATTATGCCGATATACCTATTAACTATTGAGTCACTCAATGAATTACAGGAAAAGTCATAGTTTAGATCATAGTAGTCAACCATTTTCATGAGATTAGAGTAAAAGCTAGTTTTTCCGTTATGATGAAGGTCAATTGAAATTTGTAAGGCCTGTTTAACTATAGAATCTTCATCCTTACCTCTCAGATAGTCTAAGTCATTTAGAATCTTTTTATTTATATCAATGATCATGGGAAATTTACCGAGTTCAGCTCTACAAGCAATGTTGGATGCCTTGTTATGTACTTGTAAATAACGTTTACAGAATTGCAAATGGGTTTTTTCAATTGCGGAGCTGTCCCAGGACTTAAAATCTGATTTAACAAAAGCACCCCAAACTTCGCTGTTGTAGGTTAGAATTGGTGAAATCATAGAGTCAAAAATTTTACACGCAAGTGAGGGCTTAAGATTATTCAAATCCGTGTGTCGCCTGAGGCTGAAGAGCGCGTGAAGAGCTTTTTGTCGGAGATGTTCAAGCGAAAGTGTAAAATTTCCGGAAGATGTAATTCGAGTTCCTGAGTAAGTATAGTTTTGGACAACGTCGATTACTTCATTGCCTATGCGGAAGTTATGTTCACATTTTCGTGTGCATCGTTGAAAAATCATTATTTTGGTTTTCTTAGGATTTATTCTAAGCATCCATGAGTTGCAATATGAAGATAGTACGTTAAGGCAGTTTTGTAGACCAAGTTTGGATCGCGATAATATTATCAAGTCATCTGCGTAAAGGAGAGAGTTGAGTCTGGTGCCATTTGGTAACACGAAGGGGTCTGATAAAACATTGTCAAATGAGAACGCTAGATCGTTGAGGTATAAGTTAAAGAGCAGAGGGCTTAAAATGCAGCCTTGCCGCACTCCTCTTGCGTATTGAAAAGATCGCGTTTTGTTATTTCCAATCCTGACAGAGCAGGTAGACTTCGAGTATAGACTCTTAATTAGACTATAAAACTTTCCTTGGACATTGATCTTAGATAACTTATAGAGAAGCCCATCATGCCAAACCGAATCAAAGGCTTTCCTAAAGTCAACAAAACACGCATATATTTTCTCCTTGTGACAATGAACATATTTGTCTATTAATGTTCGAAGTGTGAAGACATGATCTGCTGTTCTATTATTTGCTAGAAAACCAATTTGAAACTTGCGAAGTATATTATTTAAGTCAACGTGCTTTAGAAGTCTCTGACTGAGAATTGAACAAAATAGTTTTCCAATACAACTGGAAATACAAATTCCACGGTAGTTTGATGGATCGCTTTTAGTACCACATTTAAAAATTGGTGTAATGAGGCCATCACACCACATTTGCGGCATAGTTCCTAAGTCGAGGACCGTGTTAAATAGTTTTAGATAAACAGGCATTAATTCGTTTAGGCTAGATTTGATCATTTCGTTTTTGATTTTGTCTGAAAAAGAAGATTTGTTGTTTTTGAGTTTTCCAACTGCAGTGCGAATTTCACTTTCAGTGATGAGGTAATCCAAGGAGTGAGATCGTGACGTAGTATCCTCTGAATTCTGCAACTCATCTATAATTGCCTCCTGCTGTTCATTAAGGGGTTCATTCGAGTGCAAAGATTGAAAGTGGGACATCCATTTTTCTTCAGAAATTGGAGGGGTGTAGGTTTCCTTCATAGTGTCGTCCATTGACTTCAAACAGTTCCAAAAGCTCTTATTGTTCGAATTTTCGACCGTATTTTCAAGTTCACAGATCTTATTGCTATAGTATTCGTTTCTCTTATGTTTCAAAAGGTTTTTATATTGTTTTAAGACGTTGTGAAACTCTTCTCTGAGGGTAGTGTTTAGAGGATCTCTATGTTTTTGATTAGAAAGTTTCCGCAGTTCATGTCTTTTATAGCGGCATTCTTTGTCGAACCATTTTTTTGTTCGAAGATATTTTGCAACGTCGCTTTTTGCTGTTTTGATCTTCAAACAGCGTTTGGCGGTTGAAATAAGAATATTTTCTACAGCATGAAGGTTCATGTCAACATTTCTCGTGATTGTTGTAGTATTCATAAAATCGTGGATCATTCTTTGAATGTCTTCAGACTGTAATGTAGCTCTAAATTTTTGTGACGAATCGTTTTCCCAAAAACTGTTTTGGTAGAGGAGTGAAAGAATCATTTATAATTGCCTCGTTTGATGAATCATTATCTAAATGACGGTTAACCTTAAGCCATGTTATTATTGGACTATGATCTGATAAACTGTTCGGCTCTTTCACTACAAAAGATGTTATATTTCGTAGCAAATCTTGGTCACATACGGAGTAATCAATGACACTGATTCCCGATTTACCATGAAATGCAGGTCTGCCTAACGAGTCGCCATTAATTCTACCATTTAAAATTCTTAAATCCGCGCTTCTACAAATTTCCAAGAGTCGTTTTCCGTGATTATTCAAATCATTGTCAAAACTTTTTCTTTGGGTGGCGCATAACGAAGATTCAGAAAAATCGTTTGTTATTATCTTATTACCTTCTTGACAAACACTGTGCGGGTGTTTGCCTACTCTGGAGTCTCCCATAATAAGAATTGAACCAAGGGAGGATAATTTCTCGATGTCGCTTTCAACCTCTTCAAATAGTTAAGGTCGAAAGTAGCGAGAATTCTATGGTGGAATGTACGTTCCACAGACATAAATGTCTTTTGTAGTTTTTGTGTAGCGATTACTACTTAAAACCATAAAAATTTGGTCATTCTTTTTGCACTGAAATCCAATCGTCAAACTTTACTTTGTAGAGCAGAGCTAATCCACCCGAGTTACGTCCGCATTTTCTTGTTTTCAAGTTATTTGTAGTCACAATCTTGTAACCGTTTTCTTCCACAGTCACTTTTTCCATTGTTCGGAGAGAAATACGAAATCAAAAGAATTAATCAAGTTTTTACAATCCAAATTTTGCAATTTTTCCGCTAATAATTTCGACGATAGCCCATTAATGTTCCAAGCAAAAAAAGATAATTTGCTGGGGAAGCTTAAGGGCCCTGGCATGTTGTATCAAACTTAGTACCTGAAAAAAAGAGAGCTTAAATCAGATATCCCGGGAAACTAGCTAACAACTAGCATTGAAAGTTGTGGGTTATGTATAAGATATTATACAAGGGTCTCAAAAAATTGGATTAAAGATACCAGTTCCTTTGGGATTTCAACTGCCGGGACTTTTCCAACAGCACAGTCGTTTTGGAGAGGAACAGAAGGAATCGGTCCCACTGCCGCTAAGTGAGACGGAGAGAAGCTCTGTACATTGTAGTGTTGCGGCGGAAAGTTCTGTTGCTGTTGCGGTGATTGCGGAATGTTGTAGGTGTTGTGACCGTTTTTAACAGCATTACTATAAGAGGCATCACCCGAGGAAGTTGTATATGGGAAACGGGAAGGTAAAGGTTGTTGCTGCCGCGAAGTTTGGTGGACTTGGCTGTGTATGTTCCGAACACCATTGCTGGAGGGAGGATAGCCTTCCGAAGGGCTAGTGTGAAACGAGTGCGGCGAAGAGAGTGAGGATCGGTACAATTGGCTGGAGTTGGCGCGAGGTGGTTTTCCTCTACCACGAATGGCTGCTTTTAAGTTTGCTGCGAACAAACCAAGGTGTCTTTTTTTAAGATGTTTTCTGTCATGCAACACTTCAGTTCCCTTGGAGAAGATATTGTCATGATTAACTAGATGGACGTTTGGTAGTTTTGAGCAGCTGTCAATAAGGTTTGTGTTTATTTTGGATAAAGTATGCAGGGGAATTTCAGTTCGCGGCAAGAGAGTTGAATAAACGATTTTGCTCTTTGGAAACTTTGTAGATGCTTGAGTGATTAATACAGATATATCAGAGATGAAGTCGTCTATTGGCGTGGTTGTAGTAAGATCATTTGTTCCGGTGTGGATTATGATTAATTGAGGATGTCCAGCCGATTCTTTATCAATTTCATTTTATAAAATAGCCCTTGCGTGTTCAATTTTGGGACATCTAAAGAATGTGAAATCTTGTGTTGGCTGAAAAAGCTTTCTTTTGTCGATAAATTTTCCATTCGAAGAAAAACGGCTTTATACATGGGTATACAGGGTATACAAGGTTTACATTGGTATACAGGGTAGACAAGGTATACATGGGTATACAGAGTACACGGGGTATACAAGGTATACATGGGTATACAGGGTATACAGAGTATACAGGGTATACAAGGTATACATGGGTATACAGGGTATACAAGGTATACATGGGTATACAGGATATACAAGGTATACAGGGTATACATGGGTATACAGGGTATACATGGGTATACAGGGTATACATGGGTATACAGGCTATACAGGGGTATACAGGGTATACAAGGTATACATAGGTATACAGGGTATACATGGGTATACATAGTATACAGGATATACAAGGTAGACATGGGTATACAAGGTATACAGGGGTATACAGGGTATACATGGGTATACAGGGTATACAGGGTATACATGGGTATACAGGGTATACAGGGGTATACAGGGTATACAAGGTATACATGGGTATACAGGGTATACAAGGTATACATGGGTATACATAGGTATACAGGGTATACATGGGTATACAGGGTATACAGGGTATACAAGGTATACATAGGTATACAGGGTATACATGGGTATACATAGTATACAGGATATACAAGGTAGACATGGGTATACAAGGTATACATGGGTATACAGGGTATACATGGGTATACAGGGTATACAAGGTATACATGGGTATACAGGGTATACATGGGTATACATAGGTATACATGGGTATACAGGATATACAAGGTATACAGGGAATACAAGGGTATACAGGGTATACAAGGTATACATTGGTATACAGGGTATACAAGGTATACAGGGTATACATGGGTATACAGGATATACAAGGTATACAGGGTATACAAGGTATACAGGGGTATAAAGGGTATACAGGGGTATACAGGGTATACAGGGTATACATGGGTATACAGGGTATACATGGGTATACAGGCTATACAGGGGTATACAGGGTATGCAAGGTATACATGGGTATACAGGGTATACAAGGTATACATGGGTATACATAGGTATACAGGGTATACATGGGTATACAGGGGTATACAGGGAGATAAACAGTCTATTACTATTACATGACGGATATATCTATTTGGCGTAAGCGTAACATGAAAAAATAACCAACCTTTTTGCTTTGGTAACCGAGCCTGCCTTTTCATCCGGGTTAAAAAAAGCCAACCGAGTTCCCCCTTACGGAAACAGAGCTCTTGATAACAGCTCAGGATATAAAACCCGCCTTCACAAATGCACTCATTAATTTCTTGGCTAGATCTAGGAAACTGAGTCGTGGCCGACCCGAAAGCTTTGCTCCTTTGGCCCCTACACATTTTTCCAATGTAATATTTATTGTAACATGTATACTAGCTCTGATTTCCTTCCTTTTTAGTTCCTCGTATTATTGTATTTATGTACTTTTCTTGAATAAGTGTGAGTAAACTGAAAACTGAGTCAGCTTAGCTGGTCGCCAGCGGAACTAAACGCTTAAAATTCAATGTTAGTTTAGGACATATTTCATCAAAAACCTCCAATTCCCTGATTTTTAACAGCATTTTATATTTACCCGGCGTGTACAAATTTTCTTTCTTGCTTCAGTTAGATAACTTAGATGACGAAACGATAACGAAAGAAAATTTGTTTTCGGCCTCAATCCGAGGTTTCTGTTTAAAAATTTTCTATCAAAGAGAAACGTATCTATAAAAAATATGGTAAGTCATAATACATTAGATCATGTGTTCACAACACTTGAAACCAATTCAATTACACGACTTCGGTAACTGATGTTCCCGGTTTACGGAGACGGAGTATACACTGTGTTATAAAGTCTCCCTTCCTTCTAGAGATTGAATCAAAAGGCACTATCAACGTTGCTCTAAAGCTTTAAAATTTTCATTGTAAAAAAACAGTAACTTTGTGTAAGCAGCATTTAAACTTTGTTTGCGATGAAATTTTCCTTTTTACTATTTAAGTATAACACGTTTGCTCTAGTGTTTACACGATTTGTATGTCTTTTTGTGTATTAGCTGATTTGTGTTATATTCCGCAAACTACGTTTTATTAAACTCTTACCGTAAAAGGAGCACAGGGCGAGGGTATATACTTGGAGAAGGCGAGATAAACCATTCCACTTTGGCGTCATTGTTATTTAATGTTAATGGCCAGTTGAAAAGGAAGCAGCTAGACTGGAAGCTGATCCATTTATTATGCTGCGAACCTGTCAAATACCCATTAGGTTAGCTAGTAGCAGTCACCTGGGAAACTAAAATAACTTTTCAAGTCGACAGATCCACTTTCATATCCGCGGCACGATCGTGGCATGACATTGTTCCTTTTAATGGCTCGTTCGTGTATTATTTAATTAAAAGAGGAAATTTTAATAAGTGTAAATGTATACCGGCTTATTTGTTTCGACTTCTGATTAAAGCCCTTTACTCTATTTGTGAAACAGTGAGTTATGCTGATTATTTTTCTTCCTAATTGTCATCAGTAATATTTGAAAAATGAAAAGACTGAATATGAAATTCAATTCCTCAATATTTTTCATACATTTTGTAATTGGCTGCCGGAACCATTTGCATAGCTGAACAGTTCCGATGGCTTTCTAGTTATTTCATATTCCAGTTCTTCATTTTGTTTGTCTACCAGCTGCACTGAAAAGTGTTGTTTTCTAACTCTTTATCTGATGTATGGAAACGTTTGGTTGTATGACGTATGTTCAGTTGGAAGGAAATTTTGAGAATTTTATATCAATTTACACTTTGTACCCGTCAAGCTAATATTTTTTCCAATAAACTAATCGTAAGTGTAATTCAGTGTCCTACCTGGCCATGGATTGCAGTTTTATCTTCCTCAAAATTTTAAGATTCTATATGACTTCAGCATAAACATGCTTTAGATTAGTTACGGTTAAACCAGTGAGAAATTATCGTATTATAAGGGATGTCTTCCTCTGTATTGCTCCCGAGTCTCAAAACTCGCCCCTCGTTTTCTTGCGTGGCCTCATCTCAAAAATCAACTTATTCATAACCTGTGGCCAATAAGGTAGCAGCGCGACGTAAGAAAGACGTGATCCAGTAACGCTCCAGGCCATAATTATTCGACTCTTGTGAGCAGGTGCTTCATTGCTTTATCAATCGAACATGTAAAAGTGACTTTACTATAAAATGCATGACACGAAAACCTAAAATGAAATGTTCTTCCCCATTTAAAATCCCTCTTCGTGTTTTTTTTTACATGTTTGTCTGAGGAAGGTCTATCTATTGAAAGGAAGAGAAAACTCCATTTCGTTTATGTGTAAATTGCGCTAGCCTTTTAAAGGTGTAACACTCGATGATGGACCATATTTCGTTCCCCGAGGTGTGAGCCTTTGAAACAGGTACTTTCTTAAGCCGTAAGAACAGTCAGCAGGCGTTTTCCTTACCTGAATTGTAGAGCGGCCTTAAAAGGAAAGCATATTCATGTTTTATTTACTCTCCCGAGGGGAACCAACACCAGCAAATTTGACTCACTTCCAGGCCCTTCACCTGGCTTTGCATCTTATACCTATTCTGTTACAAATCATTAAGCCACCTAAAATTATCTTTATGAAACTTGATGAGCGACTGATTTCTGCTCACCATCAGTTTTCTCCTGTCCACCTGGAAAAACAGGTCTTGCTGAAATTGACAGATGCTTTACATCTGGCGACTTTCGCGGTTACATTGTGGAAAAAAGAAATATAAACAAGAGTTTTGATGATGAATTACTTTATTTACATGATTATGTTTTGTTACATGACTGTGGGCATGTCTCGATTAATGTTACTCGTTTCATCTGGACTAATCTTGTTCAAATCAATGCCTCGGAGCGAGTTGCCTTTTTCTCTCGCTGTGCTCACTCGTCCTCTACCAATTGTAGACTTTTCCGTAGCCACAGATATACTTCTTGTTGTTTCCCATCTCTGCCTTCTTATTTCCAAAGCCGCTTTGATTTCTTTGCTTCGAATTACGTGAAAAATGAAGATGAAGAAACCCTAAAAGGATAAAATTAACATGTGTTCCTGTGTTTTGTTGAAACTTTGTTGTTAGTATAAACAAGGTATGCTTCCGTCAATCATAACTAACATTATTATCATGATCGTCATCAGGGCATAATACACAGTTTGGGTCCATGATGTACATTTGCATTATTTCTAGACAGCGGTCAAAGGAAGGCAAACGTAGAATTCAAGTTGAACACCTCTCAAGCTGGAAAATAAGCAGATCTAAACTGTCAAAAATAATTCTTATGGATGAACTTGACTGAACGGAATTAAACTACTTATTCTTGGCAAGACAGAATAAACAGTAAATAGGTAGCAAGGGGAAAATTTGGTTACGTAGTTTAAACTGTAGTTTCGTGTTTCTCGCTTGCTATAGACATGATTCAGAGGCTATATCCATTTTGGGTTTTTTATAAAAGTTATCTAAAAACTAGTCAGCATAATTTCTGTCCTCTGTGCTAACATGTCTCGATTAATGTTACTCGTTTCATCTGGACTAATCTTGTTCATATCAATGCCTCGGAGCGAGTTGCCTTTTTCTCTCGCTGTGCTCACTCGTCCTCTACCAATTGTAGACTTTTCCGTAGCCACAGATATACTTCTTGTTGTTTCCCATCTCTGCCTTCTTATTTCCAAAGCCGCTTTGATTTCTTTGCTTCGAATTACGTGAAAAATGAAGATGAAGAAACCCTAAAAGGATAAAATTAACATTGTGTTCCTGTGTTTTGTTGAAACTTTGTTGTTAGTATAAACAAGGTATGCTTCCGTCAATCATAACTAACATTATTATCATGATCGTCATCAGGGCATAACACACAGTTTGGGTCCGTGATGTACATTTGCATTTTTTCTAGACAGCGGTCAAAGGAAGGCAAACGTAGAATTCAAGTTGAACACCTCTCAAGCTGGAAAATAAGCAGATCTAAACTGTCAAAAATAATTCTTATGGATGAACTTGACTGAACGGAATTAAACTACTTATTCTTGGCAAGACAGAATAAACAGTAAATAGGTAGCAAGGGGAAAATTTGGTTACGTAGTTTAAACTGTAGTTTCGTGTTTCTCGCTTGCTATAGACATGATTCAGAGGCTATATCTATTTTGGGTTTTTTATAAAAGTTATCTAAAAACTAGTCAGCATAATTTCTGTCCTCTGTGCTAACATCAGCATAACTATTCTCAAAAGACGAGCATAATTTTAGATAAGTAGTGACACTATACTAGTGTGTTACTTTTATTTTGAACAATCTATGAAAGCCTTCATAGTAGTGGCATATCAGTTTTATTTGTCACTTAAGTTATACTATTTCGAGCAACTTTTATTACCTGTAATGAATTAAGTATGGTAAAGAAATATTGAAAGACCAGTCCTGCAGTATCGGTGACTGTAAGAACACCAAACATCCAGGTGAATCCCAACAGTGGTGAAAGGACTGCGCATGCCTTAAGGCTCTGCCTAAAAGACATCATAAAAGATGCTTCACAATTTACTTTCGGGAAGCTCTCTACGCTTTATTTTTACGAAAATTAGATTGCAAGGAAATGAATACGATCAGTTTTTACAGCAAACCAAAGCTTTTCAAAAAGCTTTCTTTTGTTAAATCCAGTTTACCTTGTACTGTTTGTCTCAGATATCCCTGACATGTCCGTCAGCCTCATCATCTCTACAACTATCCGCAGCAGGATCACCAAATTCACCTATGATGTAAAAAAAAAGGATTTCACTTGAAACTTTTGAACGACAAGTATAAACGTATGCAACTTAATTAGGTTGACTTTGGGCCATGTTTAAATTTTACCTTTTAATTTTTAGTATGTTCAATATTGGAGAATATTCTTCGTATGCGAATTTACTTTCCCTCAATTATTCTCCAGTCATGAATTTTTTGTATTTTCCTGTAATTAATTTACTTGCATCTGTTGTATTAGCATGACAAAGTATTATTAAACTTAAACTTAAACATAAACACTTAAGAACTTGCTATGGAAAACATGCACTTGTAAATGTGCTTGACAACTGATCGAGGGCTAACATGAAATATTCTGTATGAGACCGTCAGCCTAAAACGCGCTGTTTTGCGGGCGAGTACTTTACTTACCAAACAGGCCATAAGCACTGGTCCGATGAAGACCCAAACAAAACCAGATGAGAACGAGAACCAGCACCTAAATATACAATAATGCTGTGTAGATTAATTTCTTAATTTCCATTCCTTGTCATTCAGGCTGTTGTTTAAAATTAGACAGTGTCTTCGGCGTTCACACTTCTCCCTTAAACCCTCTTAATAACAATACCGACCTAATGTTTTTTCTGATCGATGGGTCGTGAGAAAAATTAACAGGAATAAATGTATCAAAGTTTTTTAGTGAACGGAGATATCTGAGTGTAGATTGAGAAACTATTGTTAGTCAAGCATCACGTTCACATGCATGATCTTCATATTTTTTAAAAATCTGTTTCCAAACTCTTAGACTGGTTTACAATGACGTCATATTCGAAGACGACCTATGGCAGCATGCATTGCTAATTCGTTACGGATGAACTGAAGCTTTTTCTTTTAGTTATTCCAGGCTATAGAGTCTGAAATAAAGTGATCCCAACATCTGCGTCAGATTTATCTGACAATCTTTTCTATCAGTTCATTCCAGAGATACTCACACATCATCACGCATGCTGCTGTCCATACTGCCTTTTATTAACACATTTGTAACAACAGCAGAAACTACCAAAATGGTTGGAAATCCTGAAAAACAAAGCAATAAAATCTTGTTTCACATTATCATCATTATCATTATCATCATCATCAACATCATCGTCATCATTATCATTATCATCATCATCAAAATTATCTTCGTCATCAGTAGCATTATCATCGCCACAATCATTCACCATCATAATCAACTAGTAATTCAAAGTAACGTTGCAGATAGTAGTAGGCAGACACAATATAACGAGTCTGTCACAACTGTTTTCTGCTTGGAATTGTCATGTATTATCAATACAGATAATCAGGGCGTTTACTGCATCTTACGATCAATAGCAAGGTTGACTTGCTCAAGGATGTTATGCAAATATTAAACGCCAGGCATTTGCTATACATTGGTAAAAGCAAATTGTACCCACTGGCAGTTGAGCTTCGCTTAACAAACCAGTTAAGATGGGCTAGTGAGCAAAACAAGCCCCGGGCTGAGTTCATTATTAAGTTTAGACGACCTGCTTACAATAAGGAGGCTATGTTGATTTACCCCATGCGAATCCATAGAAATATTTTGTTGTTGTCATGACATTGAAAACTTTGACAACTTTTAAGTACAGCATCACTCCCTCTGCAACCATCCATCCAAACGCAACCAAATAAAAATAGTTGATTGTTAGAGCAACGGCTGTGCACAGAACCTTAAAACACAAAAGAAGGAGAATGAAACATAATTATAAGATTGAAACACTTTTTATAATCATAGTAATGTCTGCTTGATTTTATTTATTCATTACTGACCTTGTGCCTAGTTGCACTGATTCCTATGATAAATACTAACTGTCCGGCAGCCAGGCACGACACCATATTTAAACGGATATGAGACTGTGCTGTCTTTAAATTCCTTTAGAAAAAAAGGACGAAACGGTCGTTCAATCAGCCAACAATTAATGATATAAAGATATGTGGTTTGAACCCATTCTTCTGGATCAGTTATAAAGTGTTTATATATATAAACTCATTTTCATATGACGTCACGGCAGCAATTCTAGTTATTGGTGTACCAAAACTATGAAACGGAGGCCATGTTAATGTACCAAAAAATCCAGTGGGGATTGAACTCTTTTCTCATGTAAAAACTTTCTTTTGCTCCAAGTAAGTTGCAGCACCTCTGGTCACGTGAGTGAAAATGATTAATTGAAATTATTGTTAACGAACCATCAGGTTAGAGTAAATACAGCGCACAACTAGTCGGTGACTAGAGTACTTACATAAGAATCAAGTAGACCATTATAGTGATTGTCTCGCCAAAAAGAGAAAGAGATGTTCCAATGTAGGTTACAACCTCCAAAGCAAACTTGTTGTCATCTGAAATCTGGCAGGAGATATTATTATATAGAAGAATTTAGACGCATCTTTTGACTTAGCAAGTACGTCATCAAGGTGATACTTTATACCTTAACTTTCAAAAGATTAAAAATCAGTGACACAAACAAAATTAAATCGATAATTTGATTAAGATTTCTGTACACAATAATTTGCGATCCTTGCACATTGAAAATGTTGGTACCTTTGTCTCCCCAACTTCCATTAAAACAGCGAAATTTGTAAGATGATTACAGCTACATATAGTTTGATCACGCGTTGATTCAACCAAAGTGCAACCTGTTTTTGACCACGCTCCATCAATCTTTGTTCTGTGAAGGAAAAAACAAGAAAGTGATGAGTATGGAAATTTAGCGAAAAATTGTACCCCAACTACCGCAAAACGTATTCGCAACTTCCATTACAAAATGACGTCGATGACTGGGGATATGTGAACAAAATTTTACAAGTTATGCAATATCGTTGTATGTTTACGAGTACAATTAACCTTGCCAAGGCTTAAAGGAACGTTGATCGATTTTACCTTTACAGCTGTTCAAATTTAACCACAACACATTCTTTCCGGTCCATCTTTGCTCACCCAACGACCGGTGTATTTTATTACGTAGTAAAATTCATTGTAATTTATGGCCTCTTGAAGAGCAATGTCTCACCTAATAGAAAAATTCCAAAACCCACAGCTTGGCGTGACCCCTGTCGTTCCCCGCTGTAACTGAAAAAAGGTAAAAAATCCATCTGTCAACTCTCCATAGGCTAATTTATGGTGTGGGTGGGTGTAGACAAAGTTTCCACTTCAATGAACCTCAAATCAATGTACGTTTAAACTACCTGTAAACCTTTTTTTTGTTGTTTTTCTTCGCGCCGAGTTTCTTTAAGGCTCTTCTGACTTGTGTAAAAAAAGTAATAAACTATATCAACTGAATAAAATATTTTCTCTTACGGATGACCAACCTACCAAAAAACACCAAGCATTTTGACTAATAAGGTCCCCTTAAGCTTTTATGATATTGTGCCCATTCTGCCTTTGGTGGGAAACAGCCTTCTTCAATTAATCGATGATATGTGACCAAGAACGAGCTAGTGAATGTGTGTACGCTACGACTCCAATTATGTAACAACTGATCTATCAAAGAATTTAATTCAGAGAAACTAGCTTAGGGGCGGACCATTAGAGAATTTATGAGGGGCCGGAGGAGGTAAGCGAAGTACCGAAAAAAAGCCAAATTCTTGCATGAGAAATTAAATGAAAAAGAATTATGCGCGCCAAGTAATCCTAACAGATATTTATGCACTGGCCTAAAAAATTCACACAAGGGAACTGTTAAGAAAAAAATATTCATGCGGTTCGAAAGTTCCCCACCCTCTCTCCCCTGATAACTTTTCAAATGGTCCAACCGGGCCCCTATAATCTGTCAGTTATACCTTGATACTTTTAAGCTTAATAGTCACTTTGTCAGTTAAAACACCTGGCACTTCTGGGAATAAGGAACAAGAGACAACCCGAGACACAATGCTCATGTCCTGCCTATAGATTAAAATACAAATCAGTATCTAGTCAATATTCAACAAAAACTTCAGCTACAATCCTGTTCTCATGGTCATTCTCATGGTCATTTACAATTACCACTTGTCCCATCCTATCTTTTCAGAAACGGACAGTCGTATGCTAAGAGTTGAAGCAAAATCTCCCTTTCGTATGCAAGGATACCTTCAAGAAATGAGCTACCACAGCGCTATACGTTCAAGGTGTCCGTGGTGGAAAGAGCGTAAATCTTGTCAAGAGCGAGAGGGGAGGGTGGGGGGCTACAGTCAGTGGGTGCAAATTTCGGTGTTCATTTACTGTTGTAGCGAGGGAGGATTTCAAGATCCGTCAACCAACCTGTTGTCCTGTTCTGGTATCAGCTCGGCAATGTTTTTGTATAACATGCAAACTACGTAGCGTTCTAGAAACAAGTTAGGATACACATTAACCAATTAATGAAATGTTAAGAGTGATCATTCATAAATAAGATAAACCGTTATTAACAGGATAGGATTATCCTAACCCAAAACCTTGCAAAAATAAACTAGACTTGGTTAGAATAAATTCATTTATCGGGGATAAAGATGGCAATGTATCTCTGTTATTTCTTATGTAGGTTTCAAACTAACTTCATTCATTCATTTATTCATTCATTCAGTCAGTCAGTCAGTCAATCTGTCAGTCAGTTCCGTCGATCAGTTAGTCTCTCACTTAGTCAATTATTCAGTCTGTTAGCCAGCCAAGAACGTTAGTTTTGGCCCATCGAGATCGACCTGCAATAGATCTTATTCAATGGATAAATTGGTGAAGACCTTGATAACTGAAAAGACTTGCTGGAAGAGTAACGGCGTTTTTTTCTTCTTGGATGAAGTTTTTTCCAGACGCAGCTGAATTTGAGGGAAAGATAACATCTTCTTTATTACCAGCTGGAATTTTCATTGCCGCCAAAGCTGTAAATAAACAGCGAACAGAAATACTTAACGTAAGAGCAATATACCTGGATCTACAAGTGAGCAAGCGTGAGTCGGTGGAAGAAAAACTGAAACAAAAATTTTTCTAACAGTTTCATAAAATCGAAGACCAGGTCCCCGGGGGCGGATACTCCCAATGAAAAACTTTCTTGAGTTCCCCACCCCCAGAGGGACCACGCACACACACAAGGAATCTCTTACCTACTTCGTCCATTTCAATAGACATTTCTGCCTTAGAGCTGTTCCTTAAACCCCAGTGATACTGGGCGTACTGAACCGCAAACTTCTCCAATTTAGCACCGCTAACAAGTATGTTGATGCTCAAATTCCTGATTGGTATTTTATTCACGTTATTTAGTAAGGAAGATGTTAAGTTTGCAGCCCTCTGTAAAAAGGAAAAAGCAAGTCCCAAACTTTATTTTAAGAGGAAACATAAAAAAAAGAATCCAAAAAGAACAAAAGTCAAAATGAAAAACAAAAAATGAAAGTCGAACTGCGAAAATAATCCTTTCTTTTTTAATCAACGTTTTCTATATCTCAGTTTTACTCTCTTACCTTCAACATACTCACTTCACTGACAAATGTATGTTACCTGTAATGACAATGAATCGCCGACATCAAGTTGATTGATTTCACTTTCATGTTTGGTTACCTAAAAATCGTATATGAAAGTATAGAGTTCAGTGATAAATGAAACATGATTGTTAGCATCATTATATCCTGGAGACCAGCAACTTAAGTGTAGGATTTTTCATTTTGAACTCGCGAGCTTTAGTAACTAGTAACTCTTACCAAGTACTCCACTGATGAAAACTGAACACCATTCGCGGAGGTTAATGAAGGAGTGATAATTATATGTAGCGATGTTGAGGACGATGTCAATATTAGTGATGAGGCAGCCGATAATTTTTTCTTAGCTGATGTCATTGATGATATCGGTTGTGTGGATGTCATTACGGCAGTGTTATATGACAACATTTGAGTTGAAAACTGTGGCGACTCTGCTGCTGCTGATTCTAAAGATGATGATGATGATAATGATAACGATGATGACAATGACGGTGACGATGATACCAATGATGATGGAGATGACGAGTGGAGTGAGGGTGAAAGTTGTTTCATTGGAGAGGACGGCGCCGTAAATAACGTCAAAGAGCCTGCACGAAACAAAATACAAAATAATTAAGTTCATGGTAGATGAACAGTACCAGAACTCTTCAGCAGGACATGCGTTTACAGCATAACAGACATTTTCGAGATATATGTAGATGGTTGTCGTCATAGTCAAATTTCTGACAGATTTTGTTGTTGTTATTTTTAATGGTCACATTATTATTAGTGAATAGTACACTACAACAACAACAACAACAACAAATTTTATTGAAAATTGGAAATATAACTAATTACATTACTTTCCCACCCGCAAATAGCTTATAAACTAATCGAGGCGGGGGGAGCTGAAGACATATTACAAAGAGATATTACTGTCAAGAACACCTGAAAAATTCAGGAATGTTGATTGTGTACTGGCCAATCACAACACGCGAGCAAACCTCGAAACCACAAACTAATTCCCGTTGCTGTTTTCGGTTTAGTTATCTCGCCCCTTATTGGCTTATTTCTCGCAACACAATAACATTCCTTAAATATTTCTGGTGTTCACGGTCTTGTGAGTTTCACAGTAATTTTCTCCATTAAACAGACAAAGAGGTGTAGACAAAATGAGTGATTTTGCTGCACTTGTCGACTGTGTACTCGCCTGTGCAACTCTATGGTAACAAGTTTACCGTCAGAAGGATTTTAACTGTATTGTACCAAAAGAGGATAAAGGGGCTCTCTTGACTGTACTGTGCTATCCAAGCAATTTATAATGGTAATCTTTATCAAACTTAAAGTTATAAAAAGCTTTCGGATTGAGCTGAACTTACTTGTTAGCGTTGCTTTATCACCTCCTTTTTGACAAATGTATTTATAATGAGCCTCACAGTCATCAGCCACAAGTTTGTTTTGTTCAGTTGCGTACATACATCTCTTTCTGTAATTCGGTAAAAGTTGTTCTTGCCTATTAACAATCGATTCAAAATCAGCGTCGTTGGAAGGAATGACACTTCCATCAGCCCATACGAAGTTGCTCTTGGTCGTGTCAAATTTTATACCAACCCAGTACTTAGGATCTTGGTGAAGTAAAAAGTGTTGCCTCACTCTTTGAATATCTTGTATATTTCTAATTTTTGCCAGGATTCCTCCGCCATTTGTACAGGAACCTTTGGCATCAGACCAGCGGTGAAAACTGTTACCTGCTGAGTAGGTTATCTGGGCCCTGGTGCGAGGCACTTAAGAAACAGGAAAAAGTGTAAGTATTTACAATAACTACTTGTGTAAAAACCGGTTATGATTATTACAGTCATTGCGTAAATTAGAGATTTAGATTTACTGCTCACAAAAAGCTCAAACTAACGAACTGACAGTCTCTTCTTCCTAATATATTAGTACTGTCCATTGATTGTCGCAGCATAACAGTTTGCGTCCAAAGAAGAGACTGGGGATGAAGCAAATCGTCACATGCCTTTAAGGAGCACTGGGCAAACACTGCAAAGTTAATAGAGACCATCGGAGTGCTGCACTCACCTTTCAGATCTAACCAGTAAGTTGTAAATATTAGAAGGAGTAACTCCAGCGTTCTGCTGAGGAATGGCATTTCATCAGATTTTTTTCCGTATGTCGCGTCTTTGAACTCGATGACGCTTGTAATGTTTTGCCTGGAAGGAGAGCGAAAAATGGTGATCTAATAACACAGAATGAGGGAGGTGATAATAATAATGATACAGAATCAACTTCTCACCCACGAGACTACATGAGCTGTTTTATAAAAAAAAGTTGATCAGAATACAGTATTTATCAATTACTATTGCTTCTACAGCATAAAAATTTTGAAAAGCGACAACTATTGACAAAACCCTCACTTTTGACGATTATCAATTGCGCAACCGAATCATAACGATGTCTAACGGAGCAATCCTGATACACTAAATTTTATCATTAAAAACGAAAATAAACAAAATACCGTTGTTTATTCGGTTAGAATTTGTCACTTTCAGCGGTAATTGGTTCAAGATCATCACGACAGATTTTCTCTCACCAGGGAATTTGAGCAGAGATGAACTATTTAGGACGCTATTTCTTACTCAGAGTTAATAGTACACCTTGTACAACGGGAAATTGTCTGGTGAAAAGGCAGAAAACCTTTTCTCCTTCAGGCGGACACGTAGAAAGACACAAAATGCATTAAAATGTCACATGAATCGTCTAATTCGTTCGAGGAAAGTTCTTGACGATCTCACAACACATCCTTTCGTTTTATTTTGGCTCAATCGTTAGTACAATGTTAGAGACATTTTAATAAGGAACCCCACTTGTGTAAAAATAGTTAATGAAGAGGGTACAATGAGAGTGATTTTCATCAAGATGAGAATACAAATATACAAAATCAGCCAAAAAATGTAAGTTTTGTTCAAGAGCTTACTTTCTTTGATGAGACAAGTTAAAATATCCGGACCTAGCATGTAACAATATATCATCATGAAGGAAATATGTTAACGTTATTCATTTTGCGGAGGATATCATCAAAACTCCAGAAGACAGAAGGTCTGTTTTCCACGTTTGCTTTCCTCTTAGGTGAGCGTTCCATTTACTTAAGCCGCAACGACTGAAGTTTGCTTGGATGGTGCACGCATTTGCATCGTGGTTTCCATAACTACCAGCTCTAGATAAACACGATTTCGACGAATTGCTGAGACCTGACGCATTGGCTTTCAGGCCGAACAGGAAGGATTATCTTGGTACGGTAAGGGTTCTTTCGTTTTCAGGCTCTCTTTCTTGTTCTTTAGTAACACGAGTGGTATCTTGGGAAGATGCGCGTTTGCTGGGGCGGCAACTCAGGAGGACTTGACTTCCAAACCTGGACGGTCTAATCGTAAATGGGGCCCCTACACGATTATCAAAGCTAGCGGTCATGACAGAGCCCATGAACCGATGCTTTTATAGTCAAGCAATGAATGCGCAGATTAAAATAGCAATCTCAATCTCGTAAAAAGACAGGGGTTTTTTTATCTCCGATTGCTGTGAAAATCGCCGGCAAAACTGTCTATTTTACAAGAAAGTGAAAATATTTTACTCTCAGCATGTTTGGAATTGCTTTAACACATAGCTATCCCATTACTTTACTGTCAAAAGATCAAGCTCGTTTTGGTCGGGAGTAATTAAGTTTTATGTTACACAAAACTACCTAGAAGAGCTTAAGTTCGATGTACACATTCAACTGGCTGATTATGAACCTTAGGCTAACTCTAACCGTCTATCTTTTTCATGATAAAACTATCTCAAATTGTCGTATTCTCACAAGTTCCTCTTGCTCATGAAATTGACGAGCAATTCTTTACCCATGGTTACAGTTGTAAGGCATTTTTTATGACGGCGTTTTTAAATTAGCAATTTTTTAGAATACTTAGAAAATGAACTGACTTCGTCAAACTCTCGGTTATTAGAAATTTAGCTGTAAGATGAAAACCTCTAAGATAAGAGTGATAAATCGATAGAAACTATAGTCCAAATAACAATAATAGAGACCGGCCTTAGCCCTCAGAAACTGACGCAAATGCTTTGTGGATGTTCGATGAAAACAGAGAGGCTTTGTGATTATATTGGCAACGGCCGCCTGTAGGTGATTAGCATAAGTTAACTACAGTATTTTGCAAAATTGATTTTGTTATTCATTATTTTTTGCTAATTCAAAACTTTTGAGTGTAAAAATAAACTGAAAATTCGCTTAAGACATGTTAATGTTATATTTGGCAAATGCTATTGTTGCTCCTTCATTATATTCCAAAAATTCCTCCGCTTCATTCGACTAAAATATTTTATAAAATAATAAAACTGAACAAGCTGTCACCATGCTGTTTCTTTTTTGTTTCAATCGAAAGATATTTCTATTTGTTTATGCGCTTATGTTGGGGAGAAAGATTTTTTGTTTATGGTCAAAATATTTTCACCATGATTAGATTAAACTGAACTATTCTCGTGTTAAGAAATACTCACCACAGTGGGCCTGCTACAAACCTTGGAAGCTTCGTTTAAAATCGAGGCATTTCAAAATCTGCAATGCCCTGACTAAACGTATTAATTAAAATCTGGAACACTAACTCGTTTGTTTGAAACAGGTTTGAATTGGCAATTGTTTGCCTCTGTTTTTACCTCTTCCAATATTAAAATGGTGAGAAAAGTTTCTCAATAACTGCTTTTGTCCATGGGCTTAGACAAGCAGTTTTCATTGGTGCAAGCTGCTTTTAGAGAGTAGAGCTTAGCTGGATAATCCTGAATTGTAATCTTAAGAACTGGGAGACATTTATAAGGATTTATCAAAACAAAAATTTTTAAAACAAACAATGTATTTCCTTTTAATAGCGCCCGGCTTTGGTAGAAAAGATTACAATATTTCACAGGAGAATAATTTCGCTGAGCCGTTTTTTTGCTGATGTCATTGATTTCAGTGTTGTGGGGGTCCCAAGGTCGCTAAAATGCTATAGCCGTTTACTAACCCAAATAGCTCCTTTTTTAGTCGACTGGTGCTCCTGCGAGCGCTTGTCATTAGTTGTATGAATTGCTGATTTTTTTAAGTTTAATGGAAGCTGCTTGCAGAAATGCATTGAGGAAATAGCAAATATAGCAAGAATAAAACATTTAACAACGATTGCAAACTGACGCAAACATGCGCTATCAGATATCGCAAGAAGTTTGAAAAAAGCAGTTGGGATCACACGGCGAGTCCTATCGAATCAATGATTCTGAAACAGGGCTCTTCTTCAATCATAGTTGATAGCTAAGAGGATCACAAACTAAGTTAAGTAAACAAATGAGTTCTTTGTGTTATTACACACAGTTTCCTAGAAATTTTGGGCATATTATTCCATTTACAAGCAAGCATTCACACTTCCTAGAAGAGCAACTTACCCTGGACATTCCTGTGTTTTCAATCTAAGGATGCTCGTTAGAGCAGCGTCTGAGGTTCACAGAGCCGCCGCATGCCTAAAAACGCAATGATCAGAGCGAAGGCACCTGATAATATTACTATCAGACCACCCGCTATAAATTGAAGGATGGTAACTCTGTATCAGTATTTCGAGCAAGAAATTCGTCGAAACTAGTTTGAATTAAACAAAGCTTAGTTTTACTGAATATTATTGCCTGTTCAGTTTTCGAAGGTCCAACGTCACTCAAAGCTTGAGAAAGAAGTTCAAGAAAGCTATCGACGACTTGTTTGTGATTTTTGCCGTTTAAAAGTTCAGTAAGGTTCGTTAATCTGAAATTTAGGCCTAGGCCAAACGTCTAACTGTTGATGAGACGAACCAAACTCTAATTTGGGTCGACCTTAAGTTAACATCGTCTGTTTGGTCGAACCAATCAACTGAATCAGACCAATCCCAATTTTAGCTCAAGACTATACATTATCATAAAAATTTTTAAATTTAAGTTTAGTTCATCGCATGTGAAGATCTACGTTTGTCCCGGAGACGATCTTCGGACGTTCTTAATCCGCCTGAAGCTGAATACGGATAGAACGTGTTGGACGATCCAAACTCATTCAGACGAACCCAACTTAGCCAGTCGACGTCGAACATTTCATGAACTTAACTCGCTTAGTCTGTTTCGGTTCATCATAGTTAAAAGTTCGACGTTTGACCTATGCCTTAAACTGGCCTTTATCTATTGCAGCAAATATTATACGTGACTTTGCAAAACGATAGCTCTTGAAATTAGCTTAATTCTCAATGCAAACTCATGATTTCGTGCCTAAAATGCCGATTATTTCTATTTGAGATATGAGAACAAATTTCAAAAAAAGGAAAAACAGCATCAAAAGAAACATATTTATAATTGTCTATGGTAAGTCGAAAATAAATATATTTCAGCCTCAAGTAAGCATCACTAATCCACAATACCTTCAATTCTTTCCTCGTTGTTTTCTTACGTATGTTTCCTTTTCACTTAAAACAAAAAAAATCCTTTTTATTAGTGTTTCATGTTTCAGTGCTTGAAGGTGTATTGAAAATGAAAAAGGTGTCTCCAAATAATCTTCATTTTCACCCTCTCCGCCTTAACTAAAAACAATGGCTTATTAACCGCCTGTTTTAACAGATGATGATTGGTCCTGGCTGAAAAAGGTGTTGTTAATATCGACCCTGCAATATTAACATATGTCCAGCTGCTCTTGGTGAAAGGTAACAAGGATTAATAGAGACTATTCATATTTCCTGAAAATT